AGTGGGCGTGGCCAACTCGATGTCACTCACAGCCACGCCCACTCAGTCACAAGACCCCCTCCCACCAAGCCACGCCGACAGAACCCGGTAAGAAAACTTTTCAAATTTCTATTCTGCCACCCACTCACCACCTGCTCTCTCTTCGCTTTGGGTCGGGGGCCAGGGCCCAGAGATGTGCCCTGGAGCCACCACCTGCTCGCCGCCTGCCTCAACCAGGTCAGAGAATGCACCATTCCCTGATACCAGCCTTGCCTCGGAGCCGCTGCCCGCTCTCTTATCGCCAAGTGGCGTGTCCTTACCTTTCTCCTGCGGCTGACTGTCAGGGAAGGCAAGCGCCTGAAAGTTACCAGAGTTGCTCACTCTCCTTCTTGAATGAGCCACCACCATCGCCATCCTGGTCCACGTGCCAGCTGTGCAAGCGCACACCTAACCTGCCGCTGATGAGTGAATTAAATAAACGGTGTGCGCTTGCGCAGCTGGCGCATGGACCAGAGCGGCGATGGTGGCGACTCATTCAAGAAGGAGAGTGAGTGACTCTGATAACTTTTGGGCACTTGCCTTCCCTGACAGCCAGCCGCAGGAGAAAGGTAAGCACTAGGATACACCGCGTGGCGAAGGGTGAGCAGGCAGTGGCTCCGCGGCAAGGCCGGAGTCGGGGAATGGTGCATTCCCTGACTCCATGGAATGGGGCGGGTGGGCGGAGCCTCCAGCTGCCATTGCTACCGGTTCTCTGAACTACCGGCCATCATCGCTACTGGATCGGTTGATCCAGTCCGATCCGGTAGCATTTCACCCGTCTTATACTCTGAAAAATAAGGTACATGGTTAAGCAAGTCTGGCTTTCCCCACTAATTTTGCTTGTCCAAAACTAATCAGGAAATTATAAATGATGATCACATGAACTGATATCAACTGTCATTGATATCTGCCAGTTGGCAAGCATCTGAATTTTGATCATGTGATTGTGGGGATGTTTCTAGTGTTATAAGTATGAGGACTATTGAGGACATTTTGTGGACCATTGTAACTTTGAATGATCAATAAAAATGATTGTAAGTCAAGGACTACCTGTAAAACAAAATGATAATTAATACATCAATTTTAATATTCTATGAAAGCTATTATAAGATAAAATTATCTTCCTTTAATGACACTATGGAGGAAGTGTTGATCATGTTTTCCAGTATAGAGTAAAACCAGCCAATCTCCATAGGACAAATCTTGAGTATAAAGATTGGAGTTCAAACCCCAAATGATTGTTATTTCAGATTATGTAATGAATTATAAGCATGGAACTTGTTTTTAAAAAAATATTATTTATTAAAGTTGTGCAAAAGATAAAATATAAAAAAAATGAATTAAAAATGAAAAAAGAAGAAAGAGGAAAGTGCAAAAAATAAGGATAAAATAGAAAAAAGGTAACTTCTAACTTTTCCCAAAACTTATGAATATAAAATATATTGGCCTTTTGATGTAAAATTCAATATTACATAGTATTTCTATAAACATAAACAATTTTAATCATCAAATCCCCAAATTAATATAGCATGTCTTTCTGATCTAGCAAAACTCCAAGAGATTTCCACATAGATACAAAGTTAGACAAAGTCTTTTCTTTAATCAAGGTGACATCTCACAATTTTGGCCAGTTCTAAGAATTACTGTTCCTAATAACTCTTAACCTAAAATATGGAGCTTGTTATGCAGCTGCTAGCAGAGGGGGTTAAAATGGGGAAATTTTCAAACTTGTTAACTACATTTTTATCTCAGCATGTTGTGCAAACTCTGCCCACATGTTGCCAAAGGAGATGCCAAGAAATGATTGAGTGGGGGAGAAACATCATTTTCTGGCATTTTATAGTCATCTGTTCAGCACATGCCATGACAGCATCTTCCACCATGCATTGGTGATAGCACTGACTGCATGAGGATAATCATTCTGTGGGTGTTTTTCTGTTGCTTATGCACAGTGCCAGGCTTTCTTAGGCCAGGAGGGATGTGTCTGATGGGAGTGAGCATGACCATCTGGAAAGTACAAACTCCTCTGCTTCAGGCAATGCTAGCTATGCTGAGCCTGAGTCTGAGCCACAAAAGGCTTCTTTGAGATCAGAACAGTGGACTTCAGAATCCTGGTGGGAGGAGTGCAAGAAAGGCCCCTTGCCCCACTTCAAGCTGGAAAAATGGATGAAGCCAAGGAACTTGCCTGGCCACCAATCATGTGCTCAGCTGAGTCTTCTGCCATTGGCCCATCAGCAGAACAGACCTACTGGTCAGAATAAAGCTTGTTTCAGCTCAATATCTTGGTCCTATAGATGCACAGCCTGTGATGTCAGATTGTTCCAAGAAAGCCGCAAGTTAGCTGGCCATGAAACCAACAGTTTTTCCTGCTTTCAATAGTTGGTACTCAAAGAACAAAGATTTTATAGCCAAACCAGTTCTATTTAGTTACCTTGTATTCATTTCAAATGCATTAGGTCACATTTCTAATTTTCAAAGCGGCCTAGAAAGTATTTTTAAAAGGCTACAAAATAAAATTGTAGTAGGATGTAATACATTTTTATTACAACAGTTCTAAATTAGCATCAATACATGGATGCAAACCAGTGTCTTTCCCTCAATGGAGTATCATTAAACCACCTGGTGTTACTTTATTCTTGGAATATATTACCAGAGAAATAGTTGAGTTGTGATCATTCATGACACAATGTTTTTGCTCTGTTCAGAATTAGGGTCTGCAGATCAAAGTAGGGGAGGAAAGGCTACTTTTGGACAAAGTGTAAAAACATTGGTTATCCCTCCCTGGAAATTACCTTGTTGGGTAATCTTCTCAGCAGCAACAGCAGCAGCAGCAGCAGCTAAGACGACGGGCGCTGTGTGTTGTTCCTCGCCACGCTGTAAAAAGCAACCCTTGCCCCAAAGAGATAGCGGTCCAACGAAAATAAGAGGTGTATCCGGCATCCAGCACCAGAGATGACTGCTTCGGCATTTGTCGGAGGCTAGAGGCTCTTTTTTTCCATTCGCTCCTTGTTCCTCCTTCATGCAAAAAAAAAAAAAAAGCCTGATCTGATCTGGAGCCAAATGTCATTGGAAGCAATGCTGTCAGCCTGGAGCATTTCATTTCAGTCTTTAACTGGGCGATGAATTGAACCTCCTCCCCTAAAACAAATGCAACGTGGATTGGGTTTTTTTGGGGTTTTTTAGCAACTTGGATTGTTCCCCTAGGTCAGGGGTCTTCAACCTTGGCAACTTTAAGACTTGTGGACTTCAACTCCCAGAGTTCCTCAGCCAGCTTTGCTAGTCTAAAAGTTGCCAAGGTTGGAGACCCCTGCCCTAGATCATTTTAGGAGCAAAGTGGAGGGTTTTGCTGGTGTTTCAGGAGGAAGGTAAGGTAAGAGAGGGAGGGAGGGAGAGAGAGAGAGAGAGAGAGAAAAGAGAGAGAGAGAGAAAGAAAGAGAAAGGAAGAAAGAGAAAAGGAAAGAGGAGGGGAGAGAGAGAGAGAAAAGTAAGAAAGAAAAGAAAGACAAAGAAAGAAAGAAAAAGAGAAAGAAAGAAAGAGGGACAAGAAAGAAAGAGATAAAGAAAGAGGGAGAGAGGGAAGGAAGGGAGGGAGGGAGAGAGAGAAAAGAGAGAGAGAAAGAGAGAAAGAGAAAGAAAGAAAGAAAGAAGAAAGAGGAAGGAAGAGGAAGGAAGGACCAAAAACCCTGGCACTAGATGTGGCTTCAGAAGACGCTTTGAAAGAGGACAGAGAGAGAGCAATCTAGGGCTGGAAGGGACCTTGGAGACCATCTAGTCCAATCCCCTGCTCCAGCAGGAAACCTTATACTGTCTGGATTATTTTGGCACCGCAACCAAAGAGGAAAATTGCCAGAAACAACATTTTGGTTGCTAAGCAAGAGCGTTGTTAAGTGAGTTTCACCACATTTTACTCAATCCATGAGCTCTCCTGGCTCTAACAATCATGTGCAAACTAGGGAAGAACATTTGAAGGTGTGCGTAATGTTCTAAATGTACAGAAGTTATAGTTAAATGTGTGGCAGAAAGTGGACTCTGGGTGTGTTTTTCCAAATGTAGTAAGTGAGGCTGAATGTGTATAATTTTAGAAGAGGGAGGGAGGGTGTGTGTGTGTGTACATACACATACAGTATATATAGTAGATAATGTATCTTTTTGTGTGCCTATATCCACACTATACTATGTAACATGTATGTACACATATGGCATATATACATAGGATTATTTATTTATTTTATTTATTTTGTCGCATTTCTATGCCACCCAACTCCCAAGGGATTAAATAGTATATTTTGGATGTTAAGTAGTAGTAAATAAATAGACAGGGAAATTGTATCTCGTTGAAGCCTTTGAGGCAAGGAAAGGCCAGGCACCCTAACCCTAACCCTTGACCTGAATGACATCAAGTTGGCCTCACCCACCCAGTCACATGACCAACCAGCCATGCCTACCCAGTCACATGATCACCCAGCTACGCCCACCCAATCACATGAACACCAAGCCATGCCCACCCACTCACATGACCATTTAGCCACGCCCACAGAATCGGTAGTAAAAAATTTTGGAACCCACAACTGGTGAGATGATAGCAGTCTTCCAATATTTGAGGGGTTGTCACAGAGTAGAGGGGATCAACCCTGAGGGCAGGACATATATAAAATTTGCAAACATAGTTTGCAAACCATATTTTAGCATAACGGGTAAACTCAGCCAATTGCGAATTAGTCAAAGCAATTCTCCGATTAAATCCCCACCAGCAGTACAAAATCCAGCCCGTTTCCGCAAAAATAAACGCTCCAACTTTAATCGTGCTCCTATCAGACACTTATTTTGAGTAAACCCAGTTCGCTGGCCACCGAGGTTTTGGAATGGAACTGACCAGAAGATTCGAAAAAGAATGAAGAATTCGAGGCTGTCCCGAGACCTCATAAAACAGGGCTATGTCCCGTCCCCCCTCCCCCCCGACACGTAGCCTTTGAAACCTGTTTCTCCTTTGAGAAAGTAACCGCAGTATGTTTGAACAATTGCATGTCTAAGCGGCCGGTCCAAGCGCTGCTGTTCGTTTCCTTTCTGTTGGAGGTTTTCCATCACTCATCTGGCAATGTCTTTCCCTTTAAGACAGCCTAGCTCACCTGAAGGTGTAGCTCGCTCACCTGGCTCAGGTGGTTGCAAAACTCAGTCGAAGAGGAGGAAGTAAGTCGGCGCGATAGTATGTCGGCCTCAGCAATTTTCATCCTTGACTTGAAAGGCAAGGTAAGTCTCACTACCGTTTGCTTCTTCCTCTTTGGGGCTTTGTGGCAGTTTCAGATGTTTGTATGAGGGAGAATAATAATCCCGTTGATACAGTAGTAATGAAGGCCCAAGAATATTGGCCTTCGTGCTTGTTTGCAGATAAAGCTTTCTTTTGGTGGAGGATCGTAGTGGAGGGGCCTTACTTTCTTTTCCTCCTATGCAGAGGGGGGTGGGGTGGTGGGGTGGTGGGTGGTGGTGGTTGGGATGCAAATTAAACAAAGAGGAGTAAAAGTCCGGATTTAGGGCCTCAATGTCTTGATTGTAGCTCCTGACTTGATCATTCTTTTTCATCAGCACTGCCTGTCAAATCTGCTTCCTCCACCCATTGTCTTTTCCCTGCATTTTTCTTCGGATTAGGAAATTGAAGAAAGACAAGGAGTTCTGTAATTATGTTTTCTGCTTCTGTTTTAGAGCTGAGACCTGGGAGAGTGGTGGTATAGGGATGGGGAGTCACAAAGGAATTATCTTCCAAAGGCTGAAAAATTTAGCCTTTCCTAATAGAAATCTGTGGGCACAATTGTTTCCATCCTGCTAGAGCTTGCCTTGAAAGTTTGTTAAATAAATTGGGTTACTTTAAAATTGCATGGAGGGTCAGGTTTGTAGCAGGAAAACTGGATCTGTATTGTGCAGGAAGACAAAATGGAAGCGTTTCAGTATAGTGACAGCACACTTAGCTAAACAGCTTGCATGACTGGTCTGTGGAGTTGCCTCCCACTGCCAGAAAAGAGTTTGAAGTAATACTGTCAATAAAGAATTACCGGTATGCCAATGGAGTGAAATTTTCTGTAATAGAATGGCATTATAAACGAGCACAGAACCTTTATAATCACTGGCATAAAATTATAGTATGTGGTAATTTTTGAGAGAGAAGATGAATCTTTAGAGTAAGTTTGTATGAAATGTTACCATTTAAAGCTGGTAAAGACAACACATTAACAGTATTCATTTAGTTCCTTCCTTTTCCAAGTTCTACATTGTGGCTTCATTTCAACAACATTATTAAAGTAATATATTCATGGCTTGGGACCCGGTTATCTGAGGGACCGTTCTCATGCCTGTCACATCTATCCGACCCATAGGACTGGGGAGGCAGGGAATGTTGCGGGTCCCATCCCTGAGGGAGATACATCTGGTGGGACCCAGAAAAAGGGCCTTCTCTGTGATGGCTCCCTCTCTTTGGAACATCACTCCCCCAGAGATTAGAATGGCCTCTACTCTAATACTCTTCCGGAAGGCGCTGAAGACCTGGTTCTACCAGCAGGCCTGGGGAACCCAGAAGGGAATGGAGCCCATTAAATGGCTCATGTGATCTGCTGTTGCTGGGGCAGGGATGGGTGGGAGGTGATTTTATTATATTGTACTATATTAATTTATTTGATTCTTTTTTGTTTTTATTGTTTTAAATGTCTTTTATTCTGTAAGCCGCCTTGAGTCACCATGGGCAAATAAGCGGCAATATAAATTCAATAAATAAAATAAATAAGTAAGCTGAGAATTGCTCACTACCACTATCATTACTATGATTTTCTGTATGTTAAACAAGCCCCATATTTTGTTTCACATACATGCACCCACTACCCATAGTATCTAGGTAACAAAGTTAATCCACTGTCCCTATATTGTTTTATTACTCAGATAGTGGACCTAAAACACACCAAATCTATATATACTATGTTGATTTTATTAAGCAAAGTAGTTGGAGTTATATCCTGCTGCTGCCAGTACCCTTCAAATTAAATCTGAAGCAGTGCATTCTAATCTTTTTTTTTCTTACAAGTTCACAGTGCAGTTTTTATAGTTTTTATAAGTAATACTCTGGCTCTTGACAGAAGGAGCATGTTGAAGTATGGGGCTCCTACTGTTGAAGCTTCCCCTCAAGATATCTAAGCAATGATTTTATTTTTCACCACAGATACATAGAAGCACATCTGCTCATCCATCAGTGTTGTTACTAATAGAGTACCTCTTTTTTATTTGGCCTGGACCTGCAATGTGTCTTATATATGCAATCCAACATAGCCTGGAGAATATAGTGTTAGAATTTAATTGCAGAAACTGATGTCTAAATCTCTTTGGGAAGCAGCAGGAGAAAAAGATGTGCTTTGCACTGTAGTAAAAGGAGAGACTGCTCTCCCAGTGCTTATTCCAAACCGACACATTCAATGCTTTTGAATTCTACATTGTTTAACCACTTTTCTCTACTGTAGCCACTAATCAGCCGCAACTATAAAGGAGATGTCAGCATGTCGGAGATTGATTACTTCATGCCACTCTTCATGCAAAAGGAGGAAGAGTGCGACCTGACCCCAGTCCTCTCCCATGGAAAGGTTCACTTCCTTTGGATAAAGCATAGCAACATATACTGTATCCTTTCAGAGCCTGAATGAAAAGTTATGGGATTCAGCCACCCTGCAAATTTATGTCTCAAACAAAACAAACATCTTATTTTGCTACAAAGAGCAGATCTGTAGGGGTTGAGGATATATGGCCATACTTGAGAATGGCTCCCTGCTTTGTACTTGGTTGTATGTAAATGCTTTTGTATATGCACTAGAAATTGTAATTAACCAAGGGATAGAAAGAGGTGGTATCTGGTGAAATCCAGCAGGTTCTGACAGGTTCTGGAGAACTGCCAGCAGAAATTTTGAGTAGTTCAGAGAACCGGCAAATACCACCTCTGGCTGGTCCCAGAGTGGGGTGGGAATGGAGATTTTGCAATATCCTTCCCCCAGGAGTGAGGAGGGAATGGGGATTTTGCAGTATCCTTCCCCTGCCACGCCCACCAAGCCACACCACACCATGCCCACCAAGCCACGTCCACAGAACCGGTAGTAAAAAAGTTTGGATTTCACCACTGGGTGGTATGTAAGTTTTGCTTTGCTGGATCACACCCTGTAAGTTAGTGTTTAGACTCAAAGGTACAAGTAGTACTCAAAACTATAATGGAGTCCAAAATTTCCATTGCTAAGTGAGTTAGCAAAATGAGTTGCACCTCATTTTACAACCTTTTTTGCCACTGTTAAGGAAATAATTGCAGTTAAGTGAATCATGTTGTTAAGCAAATCTGGATCCCCCCATTGACTTTGCTTGTTGGAAGCTAGCTGGGAAGGTTACAAATAGTGATCATATGACAGTTGCCAAGTGCCTGAATTTTGATCAACTGGTCATAGGTTGTCAGAGTGTGCACAGCATGACTGCTATTTTGAGACCACCCAGGAGCAAAATACAGGACACAGACAGTGGTTTATCTACAAGTCATATATATACCATATTTTTCGGAGCATAAGACGCACCTACCTTTTTTGGTGAGGAAAACAAGAAAAAGAAATCTGCCTCTGCCTCCCAGCAATTTTGCCTCGTTACAGCAAATAGCCTGCTTTACTTTCATTTTTGTTTTCAGCATAGCTTGATTAGCACAAGAAAAAAAAAATCTGCTCCAGCAATTTACCTCCTTGCAGCAAGCAGCAGAGGCCTGCGCAAAACACATGAGAGCAAAACAGCTGAGAGTCGGGAGGCCGATCCAATCAACTTGTGCTAATTAGGCTGTGCTGAAGCTGAAACGAGCTGTTTCTTCTTGCTGCTTGCTGCAAGGAGGTAACTGCTGGAAGGCAGAGGCCAAAGGGTGGGGGCCAGTGGGTGGGCGGGGCTACATTTGGTGTATAAAACGCGCCTAAATTTTCACCCCCTTTTAGTGGGGAAAAAGTTGCGTCTTATAATCTGAAAAATACGGTATATATATATATGCATACACGTGCTAAGCAAAGCCAGGCAATCAATCAGTCTTCTTCAACTCTACATGGAGAACTACAATGCAGATACATGAGGACAAGGAGACTGATACACAAGGAGAGAGATATGCCTTCTCATGGCCTCCTTTATATAGACAGCTTCTTAAAGGGCAATAAACCTGCTGACTCATCCTCAGTCTTAAAGGGCTGGTCAGCTTTAAATCATCATTACCTTGACATAAGTCAATTTTTTCAATGCTGTTGTACCTTCAAATGGTTACTAAACAAATGGTTGTGAATCAAGAATTACTTGTAGGTGTTTCAGAAAATCTTGCATACAAGATATAAGAGTTTCTGCTTGATAATTAAAGGAATACAATCTCTGAATATAAAACATATAGTAACAGTGCTAGTATGCAATGATAATTGTTTATTTGGCTTTTTGAGTCAATTAGAATATGAATTCCAGTTATGATCTTGTTTATTTATGAATTTATAACTTGAGCCATCAGTTCAAGTTGAATTTGAACAGTATAGGAAAAAACAGTAAAAGTATGGGTCAAATAAAACAAGTAGCCTTATAACAGATTAAGTCAGCAGTAATCCATTTGATAGATAATTGTTTTATTGTGTTTATTGAATTAAAATGTTTAACATTGGCGTTTTAATTTTTTTCTCCTACCTCCTAATAATAATGTGTGTGTCAAGTGGGCCTTCTTGGAGATTATTCTAAATTTTAGTAGCCCTTTTTGAAGAAGTGTATCTCCAATCTATCTCTATTTACCAACTGAAACAAAAGCTGACCTGCTTCGAGTAGGACCTCAAAATAATATGTGGATTAATGTAGTAGTTCTAGTTCATATTTCAGACAAGAACTCAATAAAGCAAGGAGGTTATATTCAGTGATGGGTTGCTACCGGTTGGCCCCGTTCGGGCGAAACGGTAGTGGTGGTGGCAGGAGGTTCCGCCCACCCACCCAGATGTCATCAAATACGCTCTGCGCATGCGCAGATGTGGCGTGTGCGCAAACGAACCGGTAGCAAAGGTAAGTGAAACCCACCCCTGGTTATATTGCTTGGGAATATCTAAAATATTTAATCACATAAAAATTGATTGTGATGAGTATATGTAAAGGAATATAATACTCAGCAGTTATATAGCAAGCCAGGATAAGTAGCCAACTTCGTAGACTTTTGTACTATTAAAATTACATTTGTCAGATTAAGCAGTCCAGATATTCATAATAATAACAAAGATTGATACAGGTCTTTCAGGCACAGATTTACTATTTCTGTGATCCTTTAAAGATGCCTAATCTCATGGCAGTGAATTCTGTAATGATGATGTGTATATCCTCTTGTCTTTCATAAGGCTGTTCTGCTGTATAGGATGACTCCCTTTAATGCAATAAAAAAGAAAAAAAATCCTATACAGGTAATCCTTTACTTATGACCACAACTGAGCCCAACATTTCCATTGCTATGCATGACAGTTTATTTTTATTTTATTTATTTGTCAGGAACATATTAGGTAATATGTAGAAGCATGAATTGAATACATAAAATACATACAAATAGAGGAAACATTAGGACAGGGACAGTAGGCATGCTGGTGCTCTTATGCACTGGTTAAGTGAGTTTTGCCCCATTTTATGACCTTTCTTGCCACAGTTGTTAAGTGAATCAAGTGTTAAATTAGTTGCAGGTTGTTAAGTGAAACTGTCTTCCCCATTGATATTATTTGTCAGCAAGGTCACAAAAGGTGAACACATGATCCCAGGATGACCCATTATGAATACATACCTGTTGCCAAGCATCCAAATTTTGATCACAAGACCGTGGGGGTGCTGTAACACTTGTAAGTCTGAAAACCAGTCATAAGTCACATTTTTCAGTTTAGCTTTGAATGGTTGTAAGTCAAGGACTAGCTGTATCAGTTTGTCCATTTATTTATTTTAAATTTATTTCTATGTATAACACATAGTAACTGCTCTAATGAGCAAATAAAAATTACAAGAATAGAATCTGGAATTTTGCATATGTAAAATGATGTCAGACCTGCCCCAATTTGATCCCTTAGGAAATAAAAACACTTGACTCCATTAATCAATCAGAATAGAGCTGGAAGGGATCTTGGAGGTCTTCTAGTCAAGCAGGAGACCGTACACCATTTCTGATAGGTGGTTGTCCAATCTTTTCTTAAAAACCTCCAGTGATGAAGCACTTACTAGTGATGGCAAACTGTTCCACTGGTTAATTGTCCTCACTGTTAGGAAGTTTCTCCTTAATTCCAAGTTGCTTCTTTCCTTGATTAGTTTCCATCCATTGTTTCTTGTCTTGCCTTCTGGTACTTTGGAAAGTAAAGTGGCATCCCCTCAAATACTGGAATACTATCATGTCACCCCTGGTCCTTCTTTTCTCTAGATTGGTCAAACCCAAATCGTTTTTCATGTTTTTATCTCCAGGCCCTTAATCATCTTAGTTCCTCTTCTTTGCACTTTTTCCAAAGCCTCAACATCTTTTTAGTAATGTGGTGACCAAAACTGGATGCAGTATTCCAGGTGTGGTCTTACTAAGGATTCATAAAGTGGTACTAATACTTCATGAGATGTTGATTCTATGCCTCTGTTTATACAACCAAGGATCCGATTAGCTCTTTTGGCTGCTGCCACACACTGCTAGCTCATGCGATCGTCCACTATAATCGTCCACTCAGTGATCGTCCACTAGGATTCCAAGGTCCCTCTCAAAGTTACACTAAACTGGCAGGAATAGCCAACATCCCAGAAGACAAACTCAGGATTCCAAAAAGATCTTTTTTTTTTGAAAATCTTTTTATTTATTTTTCACATAAAACAACATCTTTTTAGAGCAAAAGTTTGGTCCGGTGTAAAATAAGTATATGATGAAGGTTCAGATTTTTGTCTATAAATGTGTAGCTCCTCTAATTCTCTGGGGGTCATTGAATACAGTTTAGGTTTGGGTAGTTTAGCCCCTGGCAGGATTTTTATGGAGCAATCAGTGGGTTTGTGATGTGGGAGTCATCTGATGTCACTGAAAACACCCCATAGGTCCCAGTATTCTTTGGGATCCAAAGATCACCATGGGGCCATTCTTTGGTTTCAGCCGTGGGCTCCCTCAGTGTTACCCGTAGCAGTTTAGGGGTGGGTTTCTTTCAGTCCTTGTCCTGTCTCCCCTCACAAGTAGCCCACCAGATCTTTAATAGGCCCCTCCTCCACTTCCCATAAGAACACTTCAAAAGCAAAGATAATGCTAATACTAGAGGCCTCCCCATACCCGGGGACACAATAAAGTTTAGAGTCTCTGTATGCATGCCCATCCTCATTACTATTTAGTTGGTGATGAATGTCCGGGGATGCCCCCTGCCACTGAGCCATCCAGTTGGCAAAATGCTATGGGCACTCTATGTTGCCCAAGTCTCATGCCCAAATTCTCAATCATGGCTGATTTGACTAGACACCTGGTACTCCCTGAGTCCAGGAAGGTTATTAAATTCCCTTTGCAACCTGAGGATTAGACCATCATTCTATGGGGATGGTCACTGGGTTGACCAGGCAATTTACCAAGGGATCATCATTGTAGTCTGAATTGGTCTCCACTGGGCTGTCCAGCAGTTTATTTATTTAATATAACTTAAAGTTTGGTCAGTGTTCTCTTGCCATCTACGACCTCCACTCCTTTTAGAGCTATTTCACGGCCTCTCTGTGATGTCTTTCCTTTCTTTTTGGCAGCACCCAGGATTGCCTTTTTGGTTGGGCATGCAGCTCGGCAGTCCCTGTGGCCTTCTTTTCCACACCTGAAGCAGCCTGTGGACCACCAGCCTGGGCTCTGCTCATGTGGCTGTGGTTTTGTTGCCTATTTTTCTCAGGGAGGTATACCCCCTTTGGCTCAGATGATATTTGGATCACACCAGATCAATGTCCACTTCCTCTTCTAGAATGTACCAAACATGGCAGGTATGGGGGGCATCCCTGGATATGCAGGTATTATAGATCTCATCGCTCAACCCATCTCGGAAGCAGCTAATCAAGATGTCTTGGTTAGCTGGTAGGTTGTGGAATTCTCCACCCCTCTCATCCCTGGCTGATGGTTTTTATGTGATCTCTGGCTTTTCGGACGGCCAAGGGGTCCTCGAAGCACTTCCTAAGGGCAGTCATGAAGCAGTCGAAGTTTTTCAGCTCCAGGGCATTGTCATTGTGGAGGGTGACCATCCACTCAGCAGCGGGCCCCTCCAGTGTCATGGTCACACATTGCCCCTTTGCCGGCTATTTCTAGACCATACTCCTTTTTTTTTTTTTTATAGTCTTTATTCAACCTTTTTTAGTTTTAAAAGCACATTTCCATTTTTACAGCTTTCAACTATCAGTAACAATTCAAATTTCATAATTCCAATCTATGGCCTATTATTTTATACATTATGTACATCTTTAAATATATAGTATCTTTTACTATATTATATTTTTGTTCTTCATTAATATCGATTTAATCCATTCTTCATATATGTAGTATATCTGTATGTATTTACATATTCCTTTTATCCTTTAATGAGTTTTATCATATTTATAAATATATATAATTTTCAATTTAACCTACTTTCTATATCATCTTTATGCATCAATTTTACATCTCATTTCAAGCCATTGATACCACATATTCCAACTCTTATAAATACTCTGATTCCTCTCTGTCTTTAAGCTCCATGGTTAATTTATCCATTTCTGCACAATTGAGGACTTTTTTTTATTATCATTACATTTGTTGGTATGTTTTCTTGTTTCCAATTCTGGGCAAATAAGATTCTTGCTGCTGTTTCTAGACCATACTCCTACATATTGTTGTGGTCCGTCAGCAGCCTGCGGAGCTGGCAACTGAGTCAGTCAGCGATGAGGCTGAGGAAGAACATGGGCCAGTCCTGGAGGCTAAGGAAGGCCCGGATGAGGGCTCTGCGTCAGAGGCAGAGATGGGGCCAGGGCCATCGGGGAGTGATGTGTGGACTTTGGAGCCTCCAGAGGCTGACAGTAGAGAGGCAGAGGAACAGGAGGAGCCTGTTCCTAGTGCACGTATAAGAAGAGATGCCAAAAGGCAGGAGCAGATAAAGCAGAGAGGACGACTCAGGAGTAGGGCCAAGAGATGATTGGCCCCTCCCATAAGGCTTAAAAGACCATCAATGGCTTTTGGCCTCTTTGCCAGAAAACAATGTTTTTATTTATTTATTTATTTATTTATTTATTTATTTATTTATATATATATATATATATATATATATATATATATATATATATATATATATATACCGCCCTTCTCCGCAGACTCAGGGCGGCTTACAATGTGTTAAGCAATAGCCTTCATACTTTTGTATATTTTATACAAAGTCAGTTTATTGCCCCCACAAACCGGGTCCTCATTTTACCTATCTTAGAAAGGATGGAAGGCTGAGTCAACCTTGAGCCTGGTGAGAATTGAACTTGCAGTAATTGCAGGCAGCTGGAAGCTAAATACTACCTTTAACAGTAGCATTAGTCTGCTGTGCCACTCAGGCTCCTATGTTGAGAGAATTGGTTCTTGTTTCACTGTATTCATTTCTTGTCAGCGTCTTCTGCTTCTGAACTTTTGCCAAGAAAAGTCTTTGGCAGTTTGCCTAATTATCCCAAGGTCAGGTGATAAACTGTGGAATGGTGTTTTGAAGAATTTGCTTTAATTTAATTTGAACTACGCTGAGAATGAGTTAATTCTCAGCTGTTCTAATAAAGCCTGTATGTTTTCGAACTGTTCGTATTTAATTCTAACTACTTGGGCCTGGGTCACAACACATGTAGGTCCAGATGTATGCCAGGAAGGACCCCAGTGCTTGGGCTCTCCATTGAATTTTATGTTATGGGCAGGCATCTTGTGACCTCTCCATCGCACAGGATCTGGTTCCACAGCCGGGGCAGGTTGGGCTGCAAGGCCCAATGCAGAGGTGGTTGTTACAGCCAAGGTGCCCATTGCTGTTGTGGTTGTGGTGGCAGAAGCGGTTGCTCCATCACTCGTCATGGCTAGAGCCAGCTGGTCAGTAAGTTTCTAAGCCCAGGTTAGTGTCTTTCATGCCTTGAGGTTGTTGAATGCACCTTTCAGGAACTTTATAGTTTGCTCCAGCATCCAGTTCTCTCAATCTGCCTCATCTGCACTCTGCTCCTCTTCCAGTCCCTCCATCTCCATGCACGCTTCTCACTGACGGCTGCCATGGCTCCCGTGGGTGAACATCACCTCCATGGACTTCTCTTCCCATTCCTCCTTTTTCCCGACCCTGAGGGATCATCGGGGTTTTGGTGGGTCATCTTCTCCCAGCCTTTTTGATAGTTCCAGCCCTCCAGCAGTGGGGTTCAAGGATGCTTCCCCCCCAGGCTTTGATCTCTTCCTGGTCATTTCCTTGAGCTGACATCATTTGCACACTCCCCACAGTAGAGGAAATTTTCTCTCCAGATTGATCCCAATTGCAGAGCTAGCCTAATGTTAGACTTGCCCTGATCTGATCTCTTAGGAAAGAAAGACCCTTGACTCCATTAGGTTGAAGCAAAAGATTCTTTTACTAAAGGAGTTGGTTGCAATAAAGTCAGGCTAGCTCTAAGGTTTTCCCATGCGAAAAAAATACAGAAAAAGTTTTCTTCTCTCCTCCCTTCTGTGACTAGTCCATGTTTTGACAATTGGTGCTTGCCAAGCTGTTATGAGAATGCTGAGATGTTGTGGGCAATTCACATTCCTTGGTGTCTCTGGTGCAAACCAGTTCCAAACTTCTCTCATCTTCATCACATTCCTATTTCCCATCACATACACACAATCATATTGCTCATTTGTCCACACCCTCCCTCCCTCCAGCCTTTGATGGTAGGAACTAGCAGGACCTGACAGATGAAGTATTATGATTATAATAAAAATATATAAATGAGGCAAACATGATTTACATATTTCACAAGAAGGGAGTAAAACTAAGCTGTGAAATAATGCAATTCGCTAGCTAGAATGTGTATTATACAACTATTTATTTCTAGAGAAAAAAAATTAGTCAAAGTGGCTAAATTATCTCCAGAAATCTTATTATTGGCATACTTTGAAACAAAAAATGTCTAAGCATAAAACACATAATAGAATGTGCTTAGTCTTCTAGCACAAATGGAGCTAAATTGTACAAGAGTTGGCTTTGGAGAAGAAGAATGCAACATCAGACATAAGCATAGATTAATTTTTGCAAAACACTATTTTAATTCTTTTGTAAGTATGGCTGGGTAAACACATTGTAGTCAACTATGGTTCACTGAATAAGATGTAATTGGCTATGCTCACATAGCATACTAACCAAGTAACCCCCTTTTTTTATTTGGAGTGTTATACGAACCTTGTATTCTTTGTTACATGATAAGAAACTAGAAGTGAATTCTAGTGCTACCCTCACACTAACCCACCTCGAAAAGAAAAAAAGGATAAAAATGATTTTAACATAAGGAATGAAGAACTTGCTCTATATCTGTGATGGCACGCGTACCAGAGGTGGCACATAGCGCCCTCTCTGATGGCACGCAAGCCGTTTGCCCCAGTTCAGCTTCGCTGTGCATGTGCATGCCTCCTGCTGGCCAGCTGGTCTTCAGGTCTCTGCTGTGCATGCGCGGGAGCGGGGTGTGTGCAGGGGGGCCATGTGCGCATGTGTGGGAGGCGTGCATGTATGCATGCGCAGGGGGGCATGTGCAGGGGGCGTGCGCACATGTGTGGGGTGCATTTGTGGGACCGCACACACATTGCATTTTGGGGGTTTGGGCGCATGTGAGCACATTTGCGCATGCACCCAGGCTTTGGGCACTCAGTCCGGAAAAGGTTAGCTATCACTGCTCTATATAATCCATGCCATTTTAAAACAAAACTTCCCTGGTTTTTCTACAAGTTTTAAAATGCCTCCACACATTGAACGTATCCGCATCACAGTAAGGGAAACATTTGAAGGGTACATAAGTGGAATTATTGATCATACTATTTGCAATAAGCATGTTTATGCACTTGATAAACAAACTCTGATTAAAACAGAAATGCATTTTTTCCACAGAAACACATCTATGCATGATGGCTATCAACTAACCACTATGTAGTATATGCAGTTTTGTCCTTTGTGTTAATATTCTTTCTAGAGTACAGGTGTCTAGTGTAATTGTTCATATATGTCTCTTATCTTTGTCCTTAATCTTTCATAAAGTGGTGGCCATCACCATGAAGAATGCCAATGCCTCACTGGTATATTCCTTTCTCTATAAAGTGGTTGAGGTACGTAGCCTTTCTCAAACATTCAGGAAACCAAGGAAAAAATATTCTCTCACACTTCAGAAGGAAAAAGGAAGTTGCCATTGCTTAACCTAAAGGTGCTTTTTCAGGAGGCAACTGGACTTTCTGGTTTTTCTTTGAAGACGTTTCACTTCTCATCCAAGAAGCTTCTTCAGCTATGACTGGATGTTAGGGAATGGAAGGATTTATACTCCTTGCAGACAGATGGTCATTTGCATTCTTTTAGCCAGTCAGAGAAGATCACTGGTTTGAAAGAAGGGTCAAAGAGGCCATCTATGTCAAAATTGAACAGCCCTCTGTCAACAGAGTGGGAGGGATAGAACATCATCTATCTCCAGTCTACAACACAGTCCTTTCAACAGCTCCAAAAAGGCTCCCATCCATTTGTACCATTCAGATAAACCTCCAGGTTTATTTGAACCTCCAGGTTTAATGACTGGCTAAAAGTATGCAAATGACCATATGTTTGCAAGGAGTATAAATCCTTCCATTCCCCAACATCCAGTCACAGCTGAAGAAGCTTCTTGGATGAGAAATGAAAAACCAGAAAGTCCAGTTGCCTTTTGAAAAAATACCTTTGGGACAACCATGACCTGGATGACTGTGAATCTCCATAGATATTTGCCATTCCTTAACTTTTTTGTTGCATTTTTCTGTTTATTCCACTTCTGAATTCTATCCAAATCTGGGAAAATAGGTTATTTACATGCACATTCAATTATTGTTTGCCTATACTCACACAAGATGATCTTATAGGAAGGTTCCTGTGTGGAGAAAGTGATCCTTCATTGATTGGGAACTGCCCACAGTTGGTTATAAAACAAACAGCTATAAATAACTAACACAGTATAAATAACAGTATAAATAACAGTATTAAATAACTAAGTAAATAAATATGTGTCAGCTATCCAACTTGATCAGTTAGAAAAGAAAGACTCAAGAATCTATTTTTATCAAAAATATAGCCAAGTGGTTACAGTGTAGCAAAGCCAGATGTAAATTTTCACACCCATGGCATCTGGTTAACTTTTCCCTTCTTCTCCCCCCCCCCGCCCGCTCCCCCTTATCTGCGCAATTACATTCAAACAAATTATTTTGGTAACAGTCCCTGGCTTAACAGGCTGGAAGGTGTTTCATTCCATGATGTGACCTTGAATCAGCCACTGGCTCTTACAGGATCTCAAGATCTTAAGATCTTAAGGGATATCAAGATCTCAAGATGAGTAGTTTTGATTCCCCTTATGCTAGCCCGCCATCTTATCCCACCCCACAATTCCCTCCCCTGATGGCAGACTGGCATCTGATGAAGCATGGCTGGCACAGCAGCATGGCAGTCCTGACAATATTATAGAATCCATTTCAAAGATTGGCACCAAGGATCTGAATAAACTTAGATTAGCAGTCGAGCCTATAGCAAAATTTATTTATTGTTTATTTATTGGTTTGATTTATATGCCGCCCTTCTCCGGAGACTCAGGGCGGCTTACAATGCGTTAAGCAATAGCCTTCATACTTTTGTATATACCTGCTTAGTAGGGCTTTCGGGGGCCCCTAAGCGGTGTTCTTTTGTTATACAAAGTCAGCTTATTGCCCCCACAATCCGGGTCCTCATGAATGAATGAAAAGACTTTTTTTTTTTAATGAAATTTTATTGAATTAAAAGTATATTACAATTCAAACTATACGGTTCGGCAACGTGTAGTCATATTGTATATTTACAAGTGCGGTGTCTAATCAATTATCTTATTAATTATACAGTTTGTACAAAAATTCTTATATATAAAATTGATTACTGTTTAGTTAAGGTACAATAATATATAGGATTAACTAATAGTTGTGCATTATTCCTCATGAGTATTAACTTTTGCATTTAATTTCCAACCACCTATACCACAGATCCCAGATCGTATAAAATTCTGAATCTTCCTTTCCGTTTAACACATACATTAATCTGCACATTTCTGCGCAGTCAAGTATCTTATTGACTATCTGTTCCTCGGTTGGACCTCTTTTCTCTTTCCAATATCTGGCATAGGAGAGTCTAGCGGCTGTGACAATATGAATGATCAAATATTTCTTGTCCTTATCGAATGTTCATTTTAGCACTCCCAGGAGATAGATTTCCGGCAAGAAATTAATATCCTCCTTTAATATTTCTTGGATCCATTTTTGTATTTTTTTCCAAAACTTCCTCGCTTCCGGACATGTCCACCACATATGATAGAAGGTACCTTGGTGGTGGCCGCATTTCCAACACTTGGGGCTTGCATTTGGGTAGATCTTAGCAATTCTAGATGGTGCTAAGTACCATCTATATAGCATCTTATACTGATTCTCCTTATAGCTTGTTGCTCTCGTCAGTTTAAGATTGCTATTCCATATTTCTTCCCAATCATCTAGATTTATCTTTGATTCGATGTTTTTCCCCCAAGCGATCATTTGGTCTTTTAATATTTCTCCTTCTCTCTTTTTTTTTTTAATTGAAAAAGTTTTTAAAATACAGATTTCCCCCCTTTTCCCCCCCTCCTCCCTAACCCCCCTCCCCCTCCCCTCCCCCTGTGACTTCTTCATAATAAAACCCAAATTCATAACAGATTATATAATACTTTACCATCCCCTTACTCCATCCCCATATGCTGACCCTTTCTTTCTAATAATACTATCATATCCCCCTTATACTATACATTTCAAAGTGACATTCTATTATAGCATTATATAATAACTCCTGATTTAGCATAATAATATTATTATATCTCCCAGTTTAGCGATTTCTGCTCATAATCTACCCTTTTTCTAACCCCCCATACATATATCTCTTAAATCAAATCTTTTATGTATATTAATATAACATTTCAAAGCCTTCCGCTATAAAACTATATAATAAATTCTAATTTAGCATTTATTCAATTAACTCAAATCTTTACATATATTCATATCTAAACATAATATCCCTTTTCTTAAACTAAATAATCAATAAATCAATAAACTAACCCGTCTCAACCCACTTTCCTACAAGACTACCATACTTAGTAATTCTTAGTATCTTTATTCTTCTGCCCACACCACTAAAAAATATTCCCTTATGTAAATAAAATCCTCTTAAAAAGATTTTTAATTTATATTTAGATTTAATCCATATAATATCTTCTGTAATGTCTTTCCGCTGGATAGTAAACTCCATCACCCATGTTAGGGTAACATCACATCCTAATTCCAACAGTATGTTCGGTATCTTCCATTACCATCTGCCCCCATCAATAGCAAATATCTTCAAAAACAAAAACAAAAACAAAAACAAACAACCACCCGAGTGACTTTATATTTGTATTCCATATAGTATCTGTAGAGGTGTCTTTTATCCAAATTATTAATTCCAACCACCGTAATAGGGTAACAGCCAGATCATCTGCGTGCCCCAATTCCATAACACTCTTGCCTTGTAGCTCAAGATAAACGTAATATATTTATCAAAGAATCCAAAAAAAGATAGTTTCAATCCATTCAGTTTAAGGCCCTTTTCACTTTCCAAAAGTACAGCACTGCAGAGGTCTGTCATTCTCCTCAGGATAATATAAACCAATACTTTGCCGATTATCTTTTCATATATTCAATCATCTCATAAATAACTGGCATTACACTGTTGTTTAGTTTAAAAGTTTTTGCTTTTGTGAGACCTACTTCTTCTTTTCTTGACTTTTTGTGGGTTGGATCTCAATCCTGATTTCCTTTCTGTAAATTGTATATCAACTATTTGGTTTTCATGCTGATCTATAACTTGATCTTGTTGGTTTTGCTTTTGTGGCATAAATCTCCATTCTGGTTCTATAAATTGTATATCAACTGATTGATTTCCATGCTGGTTTGTAACTTGATAAGTCATTACATTAGAATCCAAAGCCGCCTCTCTTGTATTAAATAGTCCAGCTGAGACCTCTGAAGGAGAATCCAGAAGCGGCTCACCTATAGAGACCTCTGTAACTTGTTGTTTCTTCATTACTTCCACCTCCTTCTGCTTATCTTGAATTTCTATCTCTTGTTGATTTTGCTTTTTGAGAACCTTGTAGTAAAATTCTTCCGCTTTTTCAACAGTATCTAGCTGATATCTTTCTCCTTGATATCTCAGTATTATACCAACTGGAACGTCCCACCTGAATGAGATATTTTGTTTTTTTAGCTCAGTCACCAAAAGTCCAAATTTCTTTCTATCTTTTAACATCTTAGGTGGCAATTCTTTATATATCCAGATCTTTCTTCCATACAGTTGTGGAGTAGAATTAAAGGATTTTTGCACAATATCATTTCTTATTTCTTTATCTGTGAAGTAAATCACCACATCTCTAGGCAGTTGCCTTTGCTTTGCAATCCAAGAATTTACTCTGTAGGCCTTGTCAATTTTACAAGATACCTCCTCAGGATAAACCTTTAAAATCCCAGCCAGAACTTGAGCAGATATTTTTCTTAGATCATCTCTATTATTTTCCTGTAACCCTCTCATTCTGATCGCAAATTCTGTGAGCCTGTATTGCATCATTACAACTTCTCTTTCAATCCCTTGCTTTATATCTTCTGCATTGTAGGTCTCGTGACCAGCTTCCTTTTTAGACTTTACTTCTAAACTATTGTCTTGAATATTTATCAAATCATTTTCAATTCTTTGTATTTTATTGTCCAAATTATAAATCTTATCATCAACTTCCTCCATTTTAGACTCTAATAATTTGATATTTGTATCCATCTTTATAACAACTTCCGAAAAAGCATTAGTCACTGTTACAATCTTTTGTTGCAGATTATCATATTTTAATCGTATCATTTCTTTAATTTCCTGCCTTAATTTTTCAAATTTCTGATTCACAGTCTCGTGATATTTTGCCATTTCCTCCTGAAGAAATTCTTTTAAATTAAAACCATTCTGCTTCTGTAAGCTCCAAGCTTGTTCACATAATTGCAAATGGGGGAGCACCCCCCCCACTGCTTGTTTG